AATAACAGAGACCAAACTACCCAATCAACTACATCTTATATAGCTTTATCAAATCTATTATACAAAATTTTTATGGCAAACTGTGATAAAGAAACTGCAATCTATCGAGAAGCAAGTCTTGGTATCGCAATTGCGATCAAACCATATTTGCAACCCTACATCCACAATATTCAACAAATTACTGGTCTACTCTTTACTATAGATTTCCACTTTTTCTACAAAAATTAACTACAAATCATTTTAGTCTACATCCTATCACAACCTAGCACAGCTACTGAAAAAGCTCAACAGCATGCAATAACACTCATTAAATAGGCTAAAGCAAATCAAATACATGTTATAGTTGTCAGCAACTTCAATACTAATATTAATTAGTTAAATTCTAGTAACAAAGCACCACTACTAACCCATCTTGCTACAACAGGATTTATTAGCCTTCTAGATTTTCATAATATTACTGAACCTACCTGGCAAAAATAACCAAACAAGCCAAATCAACGATATATGAACAAACCCAAAAATAGTATTAGATTTCAAGATACAACAACTACATTACACATTAACCTCCACCAACAGTGATCACAAAATCCTCACAACTATATAGAACACCCCATGGAGAATAGCACTACAATGAGTCAAAAAATAAAAGAAGAAGACATACCTCTACGATAAAACAACTGAAGAAGACTGGCAAAATTTTGCAAAACAGATAAGAGACAACATAGAAGCTTTTTTGCTAAAAAACTTAGCAATCACAGATCTAAATATGCTAAACTGAGCTACAAATATATGGCAAAGCATTATCAAACAAGCTGCAGATACCAATATACTTATGGCCTACTTGGCTCCCAAAGTCTTTCAAGCACACTCATTTAAAGCAACTCAATTACACTGTGGTCTACAAGCTATAAACAAAGCAATTCAGTTTTTCATATCAATTCAACACCCAACCCTACCTACTAATAAGCTAGAGGATGTTAACCAAAAACTACACCTAATAACCAAACTGATGAATATTAAACTACAGAAATTTAACCTGCTCATCTTAATACCTCAAATTATTGCACAACTCTAGAGCAACTAAAGCTAATATGACAAACTATCTTTCTAGCAAGATCAGCTGAAAACAATATATAAAAAAGAGACAGAATAAACTACTTTGTCAATCAAAGATACACAAACTTTACAACTAATACAACTACAATGATCAACAGTATTCTAAAACATAGTAAGAACCAAGTTACCTATCACAATATAGTTATACCAACACAAATCTATACCAAACCACACACTATAAAAAAGGCTATAAAAGATCACTTCCAACAATGGACTAAATACAATCCAAGTGATAACAGTGAAAAAAAACAATGGGAAAAATACTACAAGCAAATGGACAATACACCTCCTGGCATATTCAATGAACTAACAAACCCAATTACCACAAATAAAGTCACCACAGCAATTAAAGAATCCTCTACAAGCAAAGCCACTAGACCATCCCTTCTATTAAACAAAATGCTCAAAAAACTACCAAATACAGCTACCAACTACCTAACTGACATCCTAAACCAAAGTCTAGAACTAAATGACATCCCAAAAAGCTGGAAACATTATCTTGTTTGGCCCATTGCCAAAACAGCCTATAATGAAGGAGATTTAAGCAGAACACAGCCAATTACTCTCATTAAGCACCCAAGAAAAATATTTACAAAAATACTAACTAACTATCTAAATAAAATCTTAACATAATATCAAGCCCTCTCTCTAGCAAACAACGTAGCTCTACCACTTATCTCAACACTTATGGCAATTCAACAACTCACCCAGATTTAAGAAGACTCAATACTTAATAGTAAAAAACTTTGGATTATGTCTCAAAACATGTCAAAAGCATACGATACTATTCACTTTCCACTTCTATGATTAGCACTCAAAAGGATCAATTTACCAACCAAAATTGTAAACACATAATCAATCTTTTCTTTAATCGACAAAATCAAGTCATAACAACAATCGGCAAAACAAATCGTTATCATATTGAGAATAGAATCGATCAAGAAAAAATTATCTTCCCTCTATTATGGTATATATACTATGACCTATTAATTTACAGGATAGCTACCGAAACACCAGGATATATTATGTCAACAACAACGCCTAATGGATCTAACCACTATGTACAAACTGCTGTTATTGCCTACATGGATAACACTATCTGGATTGTACCCAACCAATCACAACTCAAAAAAACCTTAAAAATTGCCTTATCATTCTATAAATTCACAAGCATTACTATAAACCCAACAAAATCCATCTTGATGTACAATAATTTTAGTGACATAACCAAACATCACCTCACAACAAACACTCAGATTCCTCAGCACATATTTCAGTATAAATGTATACAAAAAACCTATAATCAAGACAATCACAAAGAAATTAACAAAGACCTCAAAAAACTAACTCTGTCAAAAATCACAAACAAGCAAGCAATCTATATAATAAATACTATAATACTTACCCGACTATGATACCGAATTCAAAACATAAATATTCTACTATCCACTTGTAAAAGAATTCAGCGCAGTTATATAGGCATTGTAAAACAAAAAACAGGTCTTGCAAAAGCAGTTCCAAACTCAACGCTACTGCACCCATATATATGTGCTCTACAAAACATCACTGATCTACAGCAAAACCTGCAAATGCAAATTCTGGACACTATTCTTCACACACTCACCCCCAACTCCAATACAACATGTATACACTTACAAAACCTCCAGAATATGACTCTGTCAAACACATCAATACTACAAACACCACCAATTTTCCCATCAGCAGCTATGAAAACCTTCTTAGCACATTTGATACTCTCCCTCTACACACTAAACCTCAGCCTAAACCAACTTGACACCTGGCTCATACCAATAAAAAACCCAGGAACACCTATCAATACAATACTAAAGCATGTACCACACTTACACCAAACCAAAACATCTCTAAACAAGCACAAAATTATTGCTATTGAAAAATTTCTTAACTATCAAAATAACCAATTCCTCCTCTGGACACAGTTTTATCATAACATCAACAAAATGCCTACTGTAAGAATTCCCAAATGGTTTACACAAATAACCAACACTATCACCTACACTCAAGCTCTTTCAACCCAACTAACCACACATAACCTATTCACATTGCAACAAGCCACAACAAGAAAGAACAAATGAGTCATCACTGAAAATAAATTGTTTGGCAAAATATCTACCTATAGTAACGGCACACTTCATATAAAACACTGGATTCTTGATCAAGCAACCTCACAACTACTCTCTTGTCTATCTTGTAAATACAAAGAAAACTCCCACAAAACAAAAACATATATAATAAAAAGAAATATCAAACATGTATACTTGACCTTAGTTGATACAAAAAAGAAATAGCACAGCTATAACTCAATGCTACACACCCACCCACCACACTCAACAACTTGACTTACACCATACCAATATATCTCTGCTAAACATACATTCTCACACAGAGTTGCCCACACCTTTAGCAATATTAAAGACATAATATGGAATACATTCTTACAACTCACACCACAGAAGACCTACAAAGTTATTATTAATATAACAAACCACTGACAAAATTAAATAATATACCCTATCACAACAATTACTATTGGTAATGAAGCACCACTTATCACAATAAGAAATAAAACTTGGCCCAAACTACAAAAAATTGCACTTACCGCAATCCTGCTCTGCCTTACAATTATACTAAGTGAAACTACAATATATATCCACACAAATTTCAAATATCTAAAACACACAAATTTTGAACAAATTATCACACCTATCAATACCAAAAAATTACAAAAAGACAACTTCGCAACATATCTACAAAGTATAAACACCCTAGCACTCATTAAGTTTACAACAATAAAAATAGAACCAATAACAGCAAAATTAAACACTATCCTACCACCAATTTCAACAGAATTTAGCCCATTAAAATACTATCCAATACTTTTATGCCACACCTAGCCTCACACAATATACTACACCCAGTAAAAAGAACAATAAAAGATATACACAGAGCAAAAAGAATAAACTCATAGATATACTGGAAGCATATCTACTTATAGTTAAACAATAACCTTACGATAAACTGGCAGCTAACCTATGAATACATAAACTATGAAGACAAATCACTGGCTAAATCAACCTGCTCTCCAAAAGCAAAAATTAGATTCTTCAAAATCAAGTTACTTACTGATGAACTACTAGCACTTCTCAATCCCTATAACAGACACCTTGACAAATATAAGACAGCAACATGTTTGTGATACCATAATAGTATAGAGGACTCAACACACTGGATAATATGCAATAAAAATACAATAACAATTCAACAAATAATTCAGGATGTATTAAAGAAAATAGACCCACTACAAAACAACAACACGTAACCACACTTCACAACCAACTTCATAAATATTCACCTAAACGAAAGAACCCGATTGGAGTTATAACCAAGAAACATTATTTCCAATAAGTCAAAACTTATCCACAACTAACAACACAACATGACTTCATCACCTAATAATAAAGAGAATTTATAATTAGATATGGATTCCATCACAAACAAGTATATATAACAATGACAACGTTACTCCAACACCGCCTGCACAAAACAATTCGAGCTCAAATCAAATACAAACAAATGACAACACTAACAACAATACTCATAATACACTTAATTTGTAATTCACCAGAAATGGAAAGATTTACATATCAATTTTATAAGAATAATTCGGGATAATTAATATATAAAAATTTATATATGTTTAAAATCTCTAGCCGGAATCTTGTTGAACTTAAAATATGTCTAAAAGACTCTATTTAAGTGTAAAACTTATTTCTCTTGGTCAAATAATACCAAGTTTATATTATAGCACTAATTCTCATTATTGGTGGAGAGTAAAAAAATAATAGTTTAATTGAAGAGGGTGTTTTTCTTTATCCTATTCAAATTGGTTGGCAAACTCTTTTTGAGCAAAATAATAAACATTTTTATATGCATATTACAGAAGGGCATGAACATAATGAAATAAAACCAGGGTATCGATGTCAAACTGGTAGTAATTATAGTAATATCTAAACAACTTCAAGTTTAGCAGTTACAAGCTTGTATCAAAAACTTTTTCTAAGCTTAAAAACTAAATTTTCTGGTCCATATATATTAGGGTGGGATGAAAATAAGTTATTAGAATTATCTTTAGAAAGTATTCAATTTCATCCATTTGCTTTTAAAGTCAAAAAATATTTAGTTTATGTAACTAGTTTAGGAATTAGAAATAATATAAATATGATGGGAGCTGGTATCGGATTTATGTCATCTTTTTTTGGTGAATTTAAAAAAAAATATGCATTATTTGTACAAACAATTGAAAAAGATAATTGTCAAGTTGCAATTTACCCATTAGAAAATGTCCCAATTTTATTTTTAGAAAAAACACCAAATGATGTTTGGAAAAATGTTGACTTATATAAAAAATTTTGTGGAACACAATTATTTGGACTTGAACATTCATTAACTCAAAAAATTATTAGTATCAATATACACCAACTTGTACTACAATTGCATGGAATAATGAAATTGTAATGAATAATATGGGCTAGGTGCTGAGAAAAGGGACCAAATTGACTATTTTTTCAAAAGATATTTTTTTACATAAATCAATTT